AGGTTGAAACTTTTATAACATTTAAAATATATGTATATAAATAAAATGTAATTATTAATTTTTATTTGATAAAGCTTTCCAAGTGATTTCAAGTATATTAGAATGGTCTAATTTAGTATAAAAATATTTCTTTTAAGAAGAGAGAATAAATCCTTGAATCATTCTGGAGCCCTTGAAATGTCACAAGGCCATCTCTCTGTTAAAGTCTTGAAATTTAAATTGGAAAGATCATCAAATATATATAACCCAAATATTATATTATATACTTTTTGTAATATTCTAAAAGATATCAATTAAATTTAAACTGGTTTTTATATTAAAAATTTGATTTAGACCATAGAATTAATCTAACTGATGGTACAACAAGAAACGACTCTAGAAAGGCAGAGAATAAGAATAGCTTTTCCTTGCTCTACATTTTATTAATTATATAATAGTTGCTAGAATTTATATAACACTTTGAAGTTCGAGAAGATAATGTATTAACATATATTATCTCTCTTTTTGTGTTCCGTTTATTTATGCATTCACTGGTTGCTTCTTGTATGTGCCCTGATCAGGGATCAAACTTGCAACCTTGGCATATGGGACAATGCTCTCTACCCAACTGAACTACTCGGCCAAGGCTTGACATACATTATCTTATTTGAGTCTCACCCCAGTCCTTTACAGACAGAACATGGAATGTTCTAAATGACTTGTCCAAGGTCATATAGCAAGCATGTAGTTAGGTTGAGACTTGACATTCAATTCCTTGTTACCAGGTATACTATTTCCCCACCCAAGATCAGTGGCAATATTAGTAAGCAGGTTGCACATAGACAATAATATCACTATTTTTGTAGCTTAATTTACAGACCTGTGATGTTGCTCTGTGCACAATGTCAATCTTGAAATAGAAACTTGCATTATTCGCTGCATTAAGCTTTGTAATGGAATGATTCAGAGCCTCCTTCAGATCAGGACTGTCGACGGGTATCTCTTCGGGGCAGCCACGGCAACTGAAGGTAAATGGTGATAAAAACTCTGAAAGAACAATCAAGTTTTAAGTCAGTGTGTGTACTGAAGGAGCAGTCTAGCCTAGTATCTCTCCTGCACATTGTCCAGCACTCATTTATATGGGGCCATGTGCAGCCTAAAGACCAGTAGTGAGTGGGTAGAGGTTGTCTGTGTGACCTTCGCCTTACTGCCTGCCCTCTTTTTCTCTCCTCAGAGTCAAGGGCATTTAGGGAAACCTTCCATCAGAAGGCGTTAGTTAGTACACCTTCAATATCAATGTGCTGTACTGTTCCTAAGTTTTTGCATTTTTGAAAGAAAGTGTAAAAAAGCAACGCTTAATTTAACGGAATGGTTCTCTAGTGGGAAAATTTTAAGTCCTCTGATTCTGGTGAGCAGGGAGCTTCAATGATGCTTCTCACTGTGGAATGTATGCAAATATCTTCCAAGTATGAGAAAAGTCAACTCTTGGTATAAGAAACACTGGCGTGACCATAAACTTGCACTATCTATCTCACTTTCCCCCCATTATAACATGCAGGAGAAAAAAGTATGCAATTAAAAAGATTTTATTCTGAGTGATTAAAAAGGAGATAGAGCTTTCCCAATTTATAACACCTGATGTAGTGACATCTTATACACAAGGAAGACCAGCTGACACTGTATCTGGAGATCAGCTTTGCCCAAAGAACATAAATCTTTCCTTCTGTCACCATATTCCCTCTGGCCACTTGCAGAGCAGTCCTAGCTGCATCAGCTACAACACAGCTGTGTAGAAATGGGGTACAGCTGTAAGCATTGTTGATTATATCATGGGACCCAAAGCACAATTCCTATAAAAAGACCAAGCCAGTTGTCTTGGATCAACATGGACTACTAGAGCACAAACATGTATTATTGCATACCTGGTAAAATCCAACACTTCTGTGAGAAGGAAGCAATTCTTAGCTGAGGATCCACATATGCAAGATCTGTACATTGACCACCATCCTAGTTTTTCAAAAGAAAATAAGTTAAAAACATATTTAAGAACTTTTAAAGTAAACAACTAGTAAAATTAAATATAATATGTTGACTTTACATAGAAAAGAAAAGAAAATCTAATCCCATTACAAAAGAGAGAATAAGAAACAATTAGGTATTAGCATCAACAACAATAACTGTATTTACACAAACACATGAAATAAGATGACAAGAATCCCTAGTATAGAAATAATAATCATATAGCCCAGCCAGCATGGCTCAGTGGTTGAGAGTCAATCTATGAACCAGGAGGTCATGGTTCGATTCCCAGTCAGGGCATATGCCCAGGTTGCAGGTTCTATCCCTAGTGTGGGGTGTGCAGGAGGCAGCTGATCAACGCTTCTCTCACTCATTGATGTTTCTATTTCTATCACCCTTTCCCTTCCTCTCTGAAATCAATAAAAATATGTTAAAAAATAATATATTTTAATGGGTAAAATTTCTTTTAGAAAGACAAAGAATTCCAGACCAGCCCGTGTTGTTCAGTGGTTGAGCATCAACCCAGGAACCAGGAGGTCACATTTAGATTTTTGGTCAGGGCACATGCGGGAGTTGGGGGCTGGATCCCCAGAGTGGGATGTGCAGGAGGCAGTTGATCGATGATGTTCCTCTCTCATTTATATTTTTATCTCTCTACCACTCTCCCATCTTTTTTCTAAAAATCAATAAATACATTTTTAAAAAGAAAAAGGCAAAGACTTCTGTATTAAGTTAAAAACAAAATTAATGTATTACATTTTCAAGAATAATGTCTTGAAATATAAAAGATAAAGGTAGATTACACATAATGGATGATCAAAACTATATGAAACAAATATAAGCAGAAAAATGATCTAGAGTATTATTAATATTGGACAAAGTAAAATTGGTATCAAATAAGAAACTCACTATGGTAGTAAAGAAGATAATTGTATTTTTATAAAGATATATTCTAGAAGCATGGAGTTAAAATACATAAAGCAGTAATTAGATATATATGTGTAGAAATAGAATAAAATAATGGTGGTGGAGAAATTTTATATACAACTATAAATTTAAGATAGAGTGAATAGATAAAAAAATAAATAAAATCATAGAAAATGAATAAAATAATAAAAATGTATTTAAATCCCAAACAAATGGATACTTTTCTGGAAAACTATAAATAACCAATGCTGACTTAAACACAAGAACAAATTTGAATGGACCAATAACTGAAGAACAGAGAATGCTATCATTACTCTCAACTTCCATTCCATTTCTCACCTCCAAACAACATAGATGTTTTATAGATGAATAATTTTTGTAATTGAAGAAACATTTAGTTCCTTCCTATGTAAACTGTTTCTGAATATAGAAAATAGTCGCAAACTACCCAAGTCAAAAAATAGTGGCTAACCACCTAACTAAAAAATAGAAGGCAACAGGAAAAGATGAAGTCCAAATATGACATGGACTGACTCCATAAATAAGCCATAGAAATGAGTCTACAGGTGCTCAGCAGAGCTGTTGAGGTCAAGACAGTGTAGCCATCACTCATTCATAGGGTCACCAGGAGTCAGAGCTGACTCAACTGCATGTAACACATACCCAATTCATTCTATAAAACTATAATCTGGATGCCAAATCTTTAAAAAATAGAATGCACACACAACCACACTCAGAAAACTGTCAAACCACTTTTACTTATAAATAAAGCTGTCCAGTTCTTAAACTAAAAATAAAATCCAAATGCATATTTAAAGAATAATTAACACTAAGCAAGGAGAGTTTATGAATCTAGAGGTTACTATTAGGAAAGTTGTCAAAACAACATAACAGATTAAATTAAAAATACATAACATGATATTTCAACACATAGTTAAAGCATTTGGTAAATTCTAACACAAATTTCTTTGTTTTCTTAAATTAAAAATATTTGTTGGGGTGACATTGGTCAATTATATAGGTTTCAAGTGTACAATTCTATAATACATCACCTGCATATTGTATTGAGTGTTTACTATCCAAAGTCAAGTCTCCCTCTGTCATCACTTATCCCCCCTTTATCTTCTACTTTTCCCATCCCCTTTCTCTCTGGTAATCTGTGTCTGTGAGTTTTGGGGTTTTTTTTCCCTTAATTCTTTCATATTTCTCACCTAACCCCACTCTATTCTCCCCTCTGACAGCTGTCAGTCTGTTCTCTGTATCTATGAGTCTGTTAACACCAATTTCTTATTTAAAAACAAAACAAACTTCTTTAAAAGCAGGAATGTAAGGATGCTTTTTTAATATGACAAGAATGCCTACCTGGAACCCATAGCAAATAATGTAAATAACAAAATTCTAGTGGCTTTCCCAATAAAACCAGGAATGAAACACAAATATGTTGGAATATCTCTGGAAAATATCTCTGGAAGTTTGGTCAATTCATTGAGACACAGAACAAAACATAAGCATTGGAAAAGAGGTGATAAAACAGTATCTTATTTTACACCTAGAACAATCAAAAGAATGAACGCAAAGCTGTTAGAGTTAATCAGAGCTCACTCGCTGAATATAAGGTAAATATGTCTAAATTGATACATTTATAATAAAATATTAAAAAGAATAAAATAAAAACAAAATTTAATTCTTCAGGGCAATAACCAAAAATAAACAAACAAAAAAACACCCCTACAAATCTTGGAAATAACTTCAGTGAGCAATGTTCTGGATATATAAATAAAATCACACAACTTTTAGAAGTTTAAAATAAAACTTGACTAAGTATAGATGTATGCCAAGTTCTTGACTGAAAAGACAAAATGTAGTACATACATCAATTCTTCTTAAATTATTAATTTAAAATTTTTATTGATTTCAGAGAGGAAGGGAGAAGGAGAGAGAGACAGAAACATCAATAATGAGAGAGACTCATTGATTGGCTGCCTCCTGCACACCCGCTACTGGGGATGGAGCCCACAACCCGAGCATGTGCTCTTGATCACAATCAAACTTGAGACCCTTCAGTGCACAGGCCAATGCTGTATCCACTGAGCAAAACTGGCCAGGGCTCCATAAATTAATCCTATATAATAAAAGCCTAATATGCAAATCGGCTGAATGTCAGAACAACAGGTGGAACGACCAGTCGCTATGATGTGCACTGACCACCAGGGGGCAGACACTCAATGCAGGAACTGCCCCCAGCCCACAGGCCCCAGGGCAGCCAAAGTGGGTGCCTGCGGCCCCCACACCTCCCCGGTCACCCCGCCAGTCACCTCAGGCTGGCCAAGATGGGTGCTAGCAGGTGTCCCCCTGCCCCCCAACCACCCCGCCAGTCACCGTACAGATTGGCCCTGATCACTGGCCAGGCCTAGGGACCTACCCATACACGAATTTTGTGCATCAGGCCTCTAGTTTATAAATATAATACAATTCCAATCTATATGACAATGAATGTTTTTCTTAAAAATTTATTCTAAGGTTGGTTTTCAAGTTATAAACACTAGAATAATAAATCACAAATTTAAACCTACTGTTAAAACATGGCAGTACAAATATATTAGTAGAGAACAGGGTTTTCATAATAAACTATTATGTAATTAAGATTGTCACAAATTTATGTATAAAGCAAGAATGTTGAGATATCTGGTTATCCTCTTGAAAAAAGCCTCAATTTAGAGACCTCAAAAGATACATTAAGATTAATTCCAGATAGGTTAAAAAGCTATATTTAAAAAGACTGATTAGATAAACTAAGGGAAAAAAGATGACTACTGAGCAAATGGAGGAAGAATTCAAAAGGAACATTTTATTAGATTTGGTCACCAATAAGCAAAATCTATTGGTAAGTCAGAAATACCACAATGAAACTAAAAAATGAACAACTGAGAAAATATGACAAAATACTGATAACTTTAATATACAAATACTCTTTTTCAAATCATTAAGATTTATCCCAAAGAGAAATGGACAAAGGATATGAAAAACAATTCATAAATTCAATCCATAAATTTCTAACAAATTTCTATATATGAAAATAAGAATATATACCAAATACAGAAATAGCTTTATTTTCAAGAATGTTTGATGAGTTATTAATGATAATAAAAATGGAAACAACTCAAATGTCTAACTATAGGAAAGTAATTAAAAAATATCTATTGTATCTTTAATAGGATACAGTTACTTAAAAGAATGTTTGTCAAGAGTTTTAATGAGGTAGGACAATTCTTAGGTGAAAAAAATGCAGCATGTAAGCCTGGCTGGCATGGCTCAGTGGTTGAGCATTGACCTTTGAACCAAGAGGTCACTGTTTGATTCCTGGTCTGTGCACATGCCCAGGTTGTGGGCTTGATCCCCAGTGTAGGGCATGCAATGTTTCTCTCTCTCCTTCTCCCTTCCTCTTTGAAATCAATAAAAATATTTTTTAAATGCAGCATGTAAAATAATGACAATTATAAACAGACAAAAAAAATCAGCAAATTGTCTATATCTCCTCCACTCCCCCCACCCCCTAAAAAAAAAAGATAAGAGGGAAATACACTAAGATATCTTTGGGTATTTGGGTATGTGGTTTAATATTATTATTGTTTTCTATGTTTCTGCATTGCCTTCTGCGTGGGAAATGTGTATTTCCAATAAGGGGACATATCTATATTATTAAAAGGCTTGTGGCCCTAAAGACCTAAGGACCAAAGACTGGCAGGGCTGGGCAGGGCTATGAGCTTGGCTAGGCATGCTCGGGTGGGCGGAGCCACACGATTGCCCACACTGGGCTTCTATCCTATATAATAAAGAGCCAATATAAAAATTGGCCAGGATGCTGTCACAGTAACGACCAATCAGCAGGTGGCTGTGTGCGCACAGGTGTGCTCGGATGGGCAGGACTGTGTGTTGCAAAGGGTGGGGCTGCATGCATGACTGGTCACCAGGAGATGCATGGAACTCCTCTAGGTTCCCTGCCCCCCATGCTGCCCAAAGTGGTGTGGCTCCCGGCTCCTGCGAAGCAGTGCAGCTCCCTCCCGGCTCCCGTGGAAGCGGCGCGGCTCACTCCCACCTCCCATGGGTGCCAGCAGCTTGCTCCTGCCTCCTGCAGAAGCAGCACGGCTTCCACTGGCTCCCATGGATCCCACCGGCTCCAGCGGAAGTGGTGGGCGGCCTACTGTGCATGATATCATGTACTGGGCCACTCGTATATAATAAATGTCATAGTTGTTAAAGATACAAGGAATACCACACTTACAATACCTTAATTTTGGATGAGGAAATGGATACTGGAAGTAGCTCTGAGGTTCTCAATTCTATTAGCATATTTGATTCACCTAGAAACTTTTAGGTTATTCTTACTCTAGAGAACCACCCCAGACCTAATCAGAATGCTTAGGGAATGGCCTAGGAGAGGTTATTTTTAGAGCTGGCAATGTGATTCTAATATTCAGTATGGCCCAAGAATTATTTATGAAAATCTTAAATCAGTGCTTTTCAACCTTAAAGTGCAAATGACTCATCTGAGAATCTTGTTAACATGCAGATTCAGTAGGTGTGGGGGGAACTCAAGATTTGGCTTTTCTAACAAGCTCCCTGGTGATGCTGATGCTGCTGGTTCAGGGACCAACTTGGAATAGCAAGGCCTTCAGTCTTACCAGTTGTAGGCAAGAGAGTTCATGTATATTTTGTGTCCTTTAATTATTGGAACAACGCCGTGAGACCGGTGCTGTTATTCCTCACCATTTTACAAATGAGGAAGTGGAAGCTCAGGAAGTTATACCAGAAATCTGATTGGATTTGTGACTCCAATCAGCCCTGCATCTGTGTGTGTTGCAAAAAAAGAACTAAATTGAGGCCTTACAAACAGATGCAGGGAGATTAAAGCCAGATAACATTTAAGCCTATATAATCTCAAATGGCTAACTAAAGAACATAAGAAACAGAGGGTGTAAATATATTCTAAAAAGGACAGATGAAAAAAAAAAATAACAAAGTCAAATAGTAGTAGCTAGATACATTTTTTAGAGTATTTATCTCTCTCTCTCTCTCTCTCTCTCTCTCTCTCTGTCTCTTCCTTTTTACTATTTTTTTTATTATGGTAAAAAAAATATGTAACATAAAGTTTGCCATTTCCACCATTTTTAAGTATATAACTCAGTGATATTAATTACATTAGTTAACCATCACCACTATCTATTCCCAGTAGTTTTCATCACTTCAAACACAAATTCTGTACCCATTTAGCAATAAATTCCTATTCTCCCTCCCCCTAACCCTTTGTAAACTCGAATTTACTTTTTTTTCTATGCATGTGTTAGATATTTCATATAAGTGGAATCATACAATATTTGTCTTTTTATGTCTGGCTTCTTTCACTTAGCATAATGTTTTCAAGGTTCATCTAAGTTGTAGATTGTGGCAGAATTTCATTTCTCTCTATGGCTAAAGAACATTCCATTGTTTTATATATACATCACATTTTGTTTTTCCACTCATTTATGTTGTTTCCACTTTTTGGCTATTGTGAATAATGTTGCAACAAATCCTAGCATGTAAGTATCTGTTTGACTCCCTGTTTTTTAATTCTTTTGGGTACATACCTAGCAGTGCAATTGCTGTGTCATATGGTAAGTCTATGTGTAACTTCTTGAGGAACTACCAAAGTGTTTTCCACAGTGGCTGCACCATTTTACATTCTCATCAGCAATGGACAAAAGTTTCAGTTTTTCCACGTCCTCCCCAATATTAGTAATTTTCCAATTTTTAAAAAATTATAGCCATTTTTTAGGTGTGAAATGGCATCTCATTGTGGCTTGTTTTACACTCCCCCTCCCTTGGTAGCTAATTATATTGAGCATCTTTTCATGTGTCTAATATTGAGCATCATTTCCTGTGTTTAATGACTGTTTGCATATCTTCTTTAGAGAAATGTTTATTTTAAAGTCCTTTGCCCATTTAAAAATCAGGTTGATTGTCTTTTTCTTGTTGCATTATGGGAGTTATTTATATATTGCATATGTAATTCTTATCTTATATATGATGCAATTAATTTCTCCCATTTTTTGGGTTATCTTTTTACTATCTTAATAGTATCCTTTTAACTTTTCTCCCAATTATGAAATAAATACATGCTTGATTAGAAACATTGGCAAATATTAAAGAGTTCCAAAAAGTATAAAAAAAGGCACCCATAGTTCCAACTGAAAGTTAACTATGTTTTATATTTTTTGCATCACTTAATATTTTTTATGAATTTATTTGAGGCAAACTAACAACATATGACAGGGAGGAAGATCTCAAATGCTCCCATCCATCACTTTAGTTGTTGTTGTTGATCCTCACCTGAAGATATTTTTCCATTGATTTTAGAGAGAGTGGAATAGAGAGGGAAGGACAGAGAGAAAAATCAATGTGAGAGAAACACGTCAATTGATTGCCTCCAGCATGCACCTTGAATCAGAGCCCAGCCCGGGCCAGGAAGGAGCTTGCAACCCAGTAACGTGCCCTTGACCAGAACTGAACCTGGGTCCCTTTGTTCCATAGTCCGATGCTCTATCCATTTAACCACACCAGCCAGGACACCTCCATCATTTTTGATATTTACATTTACTTTATATATTTAAATTAATATGTATCTATAATTTTATATATTTTTTAACTTACCATATTATAACCATTTTACTAAGTCACAAAAAAATATGTAAACATACTTTTAATGGCTGCATATATTGTACTGTATGGATATACTGTAAGTTATTTAAACATTCCCTCGTGTTGAAAACATTTCTAATGTTTTTCTATTACAAATAATGCTGAAATTAATATCTTACTGTTTGGGTTTCTCATTTTCTTCCCTCAGAATAGAATTGTAGAAGTAGAACAACAGACTAAAGGGCTTGAAGCAATCCCTTGCTTAAAGTAATTTTCTGCTACAATACAAATATCCCTGGGATGGTCATTGTGCTTTAGGCATCTGCACATGCACTAACTACTGCCACCTTGTGATACTCTCTTGTAACATAATTTTGGTTCTGATAAAGAGATGGAGGTTCAGGACTATATTATTAAAAATAAAAAAAAGGAGAGAGAAGGGGAGAAAATAAGCAAAGGCAAGTTGGAAGTTAAGGAGTGTCCTGCGCAGAGCTCAGGAGCACTGGGAAGGACCTTAAGCAGGTGGGAAGAAAGGGAGACAGGAAAGTGTGAAGACATGAACAGACAAACTTGACAGGGCATCATTTTATCTCAAGCCCTGGTTATATATGTAAATGTACAGATCTTGTGACCAGGTAGGTAAGGCAGCTTGACTAGTGACATGGAGAATGTGGCTGTGAGTTCATGCATTTCATATAAAATCTTAGTGACCAAGTCTTCCTATGTAGCTGAGTATTCCCACACCTGTAAATACTGGACAGCAAATGCTAATAACCTTATATTCGAGTTTTGCCTACTTACACCTTTGGAGAGGGCCTTGCAGTCTTGGGTTAAGAATTTAAAATTCTCCTTGGAACAATTAGTTTGCAGAATTAAGTAAGTAACTTCATAGTTCCACCCAGACACCACCTGAAACAATGTTTAATTGAATAGTTAAAGGGCAGTTTAAACATTATTCACTGTGTTATGAGGAACTTAGAATACTGCCTGGCATATTGCAAGTACTCAAAAATATAAACTCTTAGTACTAGGCAAAAGTCATGACTGAATAAATATTGAGCACTTTATGATTCTCACACTCCTCAACACACACACACAAACACACACACTCCTATACATTTGGAAAAAAACACACACCAATATATAGGTGGAGTTACTGTATTTTCTTAAGAAAAACTTAGCAACATTTCCTCTGCCAGGCAACTGAAAAATAATGTCCTTTTGAATTTTGTGAAATATTAATAATACTCTCCTAGATAGTTTAAAAAAAAAAAGACTTTGGAGCTAGAATGGCCTTTACTGGTAAATTCTCAGGTTCCCAGACAGACAGGCAGTAAGCTTTGTGCTACTTTATCTTGGGCTAGTCCCAACCCGATCGCTGGCTATGAACATAGTTGAAGAGAACATGCATCTTGCATGAAGGGAAGTTGGATGGTCTATTAAAAGCAGGGAAGGTTACTGACTAAAGTAAGTCCCTCATAATTAGATACTGAAATACAAGGGACCCAGTCAACTATCAGTAAAGACTTAGTGAACTGGGTCAATGAAAAGGCCAGATTTCCAAGTATTTACTTTCTTTTAATGATATGAAAACTATAATTTAGAGAGTGCTCAGAAAGCCGTGCCAACTGTTTGGGTACCATTTCATATTTTGGAGCCATGTTTGACTCATGATGGCTAAGTGATAATGTAATTTTCTTAAAACCTTAAGGTTAGAATGATCTTTTCATCTCACCATCTCTAAGAAAAACATGTATTTCTGCCTACCCATCATTAAAACCAACCTCAGAGCCAGGGGTCTGATTAGCCACACTTCTGCCCTTTATATTTTGCAGTATCCCAATCACTTTGACTCAAGAGAAAGCTCTGTACCTCCTATGCCAGTCAGATGAGGACATAAAAGAGCTCCCTCACCACCAGTCATGGAATCATAGGTTTTCTATTGACCAGTGGTTTATTTTAGGTAATGAAACCCTAAACATAAATATCCAACAAATTTTGACAATACTGTGAGAAATGGAAACTGCAGCACAAACCTGTCTCTGTGCCCTTTTTACTTCTTTAAGAGCAAAGAGGTGGGAATGATTAGTGTGGTTGTTAAAATGTTCTATGGCATGTCTCAGAACAGGGTCGAAGTCCGGAGGGACAGTCGATATGGGGTGCAGGCAGCCATAGCATTCATACTGGGAGGTCACCACAGGGCCCTCCGCTTGACAAAGAGAGAGTAGGAAAAAGAACAGCATAAATGAACAAAACCCACATTCAGATACATTGTCCTAAATAAGTAACATAATATCGAAGACCCTGGTAAACAACTTTCTAGTACATTCTAGTATGTATTAGAAAAAGAGAACACGACTGCTTTTTGGTGTCAGAGAGAAAAAATCCTACCATTGACTTAGGAACATCTTATGTACATACTATTGTGCTTAATTATTTTAAATTTATTTAAAAATCATTGTAAATTGTGGACATAATCCATTTATTTATCTTCTTATAAAAAAGTAAAATGCTACAGATATCGTATTATTTATTTTTCAGTGTTAATTAAAGCTCCTTGAGGCCTAGTTTGGGATATAATATGTTTTGTATCAATTCATTTCAATAACCATGTACATATTTTGCTCTTTCTGTAATATGTCAGGTGCTGAGTTAGACTGTGTAGATAGGTTAACTTATTAGTAGTGGTCACTGTGGTGTTTTGGGGAGCACAAGAGACTGGGTTGGAGAGTTGTAAGGAGGACATTCTGATACAAGGGAAGTGTGTGGAAGGCTGCCTGCCCTGTTAATTGGAATTCTGATTTAGAGGAGACATAGAAGAGTGTTGAAGGCGGCACTCCTAATTATTCCTTGACCTTTCCAAACAAGTCTCATTACATACAGACCCCAGGTGTTTACTGGAATCCTTATGCTTAATCCCTGGATGTCATTGCCTAAACAACAGTGTAAACACACGTGTCCTTCTAAGAGTACTCACCCTACTGATTGTATCTAAAGATAAAAACTGCAATAAAAAGCTAACAAGGCAGGCAATTGAGGCTGCTCTGGCCGCTAGAGCCAGGAGCCCCTTAGCCCTCTCCCTCACAGTCAAACTGTGTCTGAGTAATCTGTTCATCCATCGTTCAGGGGCTGCTGGTCAGACTCGGCAGTGGTGAAGGTGTTGGGCAAAGTGGAGTGGGAGAGACAGAACTGCAGATGGATATTTCAAAATAATTCGGCAAGAGCTTGGGAAGGCAGGAGCCCAGAGTGAGCTCAAGAAAGACTTTCATGAGGAGAAGAGGCCTGAGCTAAGAAGGGTGTAAAGTGGTCAAGGTCAACTGGGCAACATAAAGTGTGAGCCTGAGAAGGAGGAACAAAGGGAGGAATGGCTCTCAAGAAAGCAGGATGAGTCAGGGGCAGCATGTGGGATGCGGTGTATGCTTTTTACTGGGGCTTAAAGCAGGAGGCAGGGACTGGCGATGGAGGTCTGTACAATTGGTAGAGAGAGTCCTCTGCTGTGGAGCCCAGGCCACTCTGTGGAGGCCAGGGGTTATGAACTGTATTCCAAGTGTCATGGGCTCCTTGGTGAACCTGATGAGAACTAGGGCGCCCTCTTCAGGAAAATGCCGGTACTCACAATGTTCTCCATATAATTTCAGGGTGTGCATAGACCCACTGAAGTGAATTAAGAGTGATGGGCTATAACGATGGGGTGCACCGACGGGGTTTTAAATAAAATAATGTAAAATATTTAAAAAGGAGCGAGCTTGTATTAAGTTACCAAGTAATGTTTATAAGATAGCCTTAACCCGCTGGTCAGTAGAGGCACACATTTTAGAGGGGAAGTCATGAAGGTATCCTGGGCCCCTTTGCCTTGGTCTCTCACTGTCCGAGAGACCAGGAGCAAACAGAACCAGGAGCAACAGTGTTCTACAACAGTGTCCCTCAGTTGCGAGTAGGTCAACACACCTCCCCTTGCAGCTGTTTCTTGGCACTCACTCCATAAGCATGTGGGTCAGAAAAAAGATTTACTGAGTGAATATTCATAGCTTTCCTCACTGCTCTCCCCTTGCAGAAGGTATGTTGCATCAGGGCAGAGGACAAAGTTAACAAACTGGAGGGAACTTACATGGGAAAGGAGAGAGAGAATTACTTATGGCAGGACAAAAGATTGATGAACACAGAAGAGGGAGGAGGAAGGGAGTAGAGACCAGAGGCTGGTATGCTGACCTCAAGGGCAGCTCTGACTGGGGTAAGAGGAGAGATGGAGCAGTCTTTTGAGGGAAATTCAGTTTTTCCAGGCGATGGAATGAGTTTTCATTTTGCTCCAACATTTCTAGGGAGATTTTTAAAAAATTTAAAAAAGATTTTAAATTTTGAATTCTGAAACATATTTGGCAAAAAATGTTTCAGATAAGGGATTGTGGACTTAGTAGTAATTGTGGATCTACATGGTGTGGCAAAGAGCTTTTTCTCTCATAGTATGTAAGTGCTGGGTTCTGGATCATGTGAAAATTTGCTTATGAGCTAAAATTCTTAAACTAAATAATAAAAGCTACTCAAAAAATTTTAAAAACATTTATTATTTCTTTTCTGTTTTGGACTGTTTTTCTTTTAATTCCACTTCTTGCAAGAGCTGAAACTCAAGAAATATAGTTTTTGTGTGTTCTTTATGGATGACTAAGGCCAAGAAAGAACAATTGCTCCTCCACTTCATGAGTGTGGCTAATGATGCTGTTCTGGAGCCTTAAATACTAAAACCCTATCTTGCAGAAGGCCAGTTCCGGGTTGGCTTTTGTGATTGACATTCCCTAGATGTGCCCATTCTTCTGCACCCAGCCACTCTGCCACCAGACTGAAGGAGCTAACAGTGGTTATATCTGCATAAGTTGCTCCATTCTTACAAGGTCTACTATACCAACTCTCCTAATTGTTAGCTATGGGATACTGAGCAAGATACTGAACTGTGGTGGGCCTGGGTTTCCTCATTTGTAAAATGAGAATATTAACACTTGTCCCCATAGAATTGTTGTGAGGATTAAATAAATCAACATATGTAAAACGATTAGCACGGTGGCTAGCAATAAGTGCTCAATAAATGTCAGCTATGATTACTTTTATTCTGAAGATCAATACATTCTTATACTTGTAACTTCAAACCTGCCATCTAGTTTCAGTCTACAATAACCCTCTGAAATGAGACTCTGATTCCCTTTTAAGGAAAAGGGAAACCAAAAAGGTGAAGATCTTTTGAAAGATTGCAGGCCATATCTGACCTCAAAGCCTGTGCTTTTCTGGCTCTAGGACACCCCCACAATTGAAGCATGTGGCATGTTTTCCAGTCCTTTCCCAGGACCTTTGCACAACCTAATTCAGCGCTGCTGTCCAGGGAGGGTCCAGGGGATGATTGGCAGGAGCCTGGCCCCACCTCAGGACTCTGCCACCACAGACCTTCTCCCTCCCACCCAAACTCCCCCGCTTCCCCCTCCAAAGGCTGCAAATGGCATTGCACAGCCACCCACTGCCCTCTGGGAAGGGGCTTTGTCCAGGTTATGCTCCTGGTCCCACACGGAAATGGTTCATTTCCCCCCAGGGCAGCACCACCCTATATATTAGCTACCTGGAGTAATGTGGCAGGTCTGGTTAGCCACGGAGAATTCCATATTCCCTTTCTTCCCTATGGTCGCCATGCATTCTCCTGTGGCCTAGAAAGAAAAAAAGAAAGAAAGGAAGGAAGAAAGAAAAGAAAGAAAGAAAGAAAGAAAGAAAGAAAGAAAGAAAGAAAGAAAAGACCATTTATCTTAATCTTTCAGATGGAGAAGTGCACCTATTGCTGTTGCTAAGTATGGCTTTTCTCTTATTTAAAATTTAAGATTCTTTTCTAACAGAGTTTTGAGACAAAAGAATGAATGTTTTTGTAGCCTAATCATTATTATTTACAAGTCATTGATATTCATGAGGTGTCCAGAGGAGAGACAGTATAGACAGTAAAGTTTTAAAATAATGTTATGTTTGGAGCACTGGAGATATTTCTTTTTCACCAAGGTGAACACAGTGCCCTAAAACTAGTCTGCCAAACTCTCCACTTACAGTTCAACTTCAGGGTTCAACTGCACAGAGGATGTGGTGCTTTTGATACCATTGTAATAACCAGGTATTAACTGAAAAGGAGCAAAGGGAAGGCCAAATAGACACATGCCCAGTAACGTCTGGGTGACCTAGGGAAGGTACTTTCTGTCAGTCACACCTGGGAACACAGACGGTGTGGCACCTGCAAGCACGGGAAGATTTCAGATATTAAACTCCTAAACAAAGGAGTTCTCTCTCCTGCCTCTCTTGTACACTGGAGCTCCTGGCTCTCTTGTTGCAGGGGACACACTCTCCTGCATGCACCCACATGACCCACAGCCATATGACCCCCCCCACACACACACAAGGGACTAATGGACAGGAACTAGCCTGATGCTGTGCCGGACCCAGCTCCACCATGGAATGGAAACTTGGAACATTGGTTTTGCTTTTGGCTCTGCTGAATCCCCAGCTGCACCTCTTTTACAACTGGTTTAAGGGAAATGGGGCTTTAGAAATGGAGATATGGAATTCCACACAAATAAAGATCTCTCATCTTCTTGTGTGAGTGTTAGAAAATTCTTTTTCTCAAGATTTCATGAGTACCGGACCCCCAACATTCAGTGGGAAAAGGGATTCTCCCAGTTCCCACCAGTGGACACCCCGTTTCCACCAATAACATTTGACAGATTAAAGAAGTGAGTCCACGGACTATGGAAAGAGTGGCTTCCTTCCTGACAGATACTGGCTCTTCGCTCCCCAGGTAAGGCCAAACAACCAGCTGTGGTGTGGCAAACAGATGTTAGGCATTTGGTTAATATTCCTTGTTGTTAAAACAAGGTCTTTTCATATATATCTCTTTTTCTTCCAATTTAGGTCAAGTTTACCTCCCTTTTACAAGGGTGCCCATGGGTTAAAAGTGGTCAGCTAATTAGAGGCAGAGTAGAATTCCAACTCAGGTCTGCACAAATAAAGCACCCAATTGGTCATAGGAGTCCCCTCTTCATGGGAGGGCTTTCTCCAATCTCATGGCTGGCCTCTCATGCCCTTTCTGTCTGTGCAAGAACATAGACATCAACCATTTGCCTT